TGATTTTAAAAAATAAAATAAAGAAAGAACACAATTATAATTTTTTTTCATCCTTTGATTGGTGAGTGTTCCATTAATTCACTTTTCTTCTCTATGACCACATCCACTTTTTTTAATCCATATTCTACAGAACATATACTGTAGTGCAAAAAAAAATGTATTGCTTACATTCACAAATAAAACACAAAATTAATATTACATTTTATTATCTATAGTAAATATTTAGTAGATAATGCAAAAAAAATTCTAACAGCGGTTAGTGAATTCAGAATTACTACGACGTTCTTTGATAAAAACGAATAGGTGTAGTAATAATACTTTATATTTTAGGATGAGTTTAATTATTTTAGATATGTAACTTATGATTACAAATGATATAACATATTTCAAACTTTGACTGCGTCGCCCAAAAGTTTATATCAATCGTTTATAATATATTGACCAAGAATACAATTTCTTTGATCACCAATTACTGTTTCAACTGTGTTAGAAAAATGGTGAGTATATTATACTAATCAGATCGCAATCAGGTTTCACTCGGAAATACAAAGAATAATTGTCTTGATTTTGGACTAATAATATTATAACCTAAATAGTAACTACACCTTCTGATATAATAAAAAAAAACACAACTTCCTCAATCAAATAAATATATATTCAAAATAAGACGACTCCTAAAATCAAAGATAATAATAATTATTCATAAATTTTACCTAATAGTTAGATAATATTAATAAACAATTTTAGTATAATAATTAATAATTATTGAATAAATAATAATTTAATAAAAAATTTGATAAAAAAAAGTTTAAGTTCAAAATGTTGAATTTTGGGGTACCAGGAGCCGAGCAACACGAAAAGTGAAAACGTCGATTTCGGGGGTAAATGTTGGGTTACAAATTCCAATTTTTGTGTTACAAATTGTTACAAATTATGTACTAATTATCTAAAAAGGTTTGAGTTAAGAATGTTGAATTCGGGGTGCCAGAGTGACGTCAGCCCAGCACCCCGAAATTCAAAAACGTCGATTTCAGGGGTAAATTTTGGGTTACAAATTCCAATTTTTGTGTTACAAATTGTTACGAATTAGGTACTAATTATCTAAAAAGGTTTGAGTTAAAAATGTTGAATTCGGGGTGCCAGACTGACGTCAGCCCAGCACCCCGAAAAGAATAACACTTTTTTTGAAGGTAAGACTTGGTTACAAATTCTGATTTTTGCGTTACAAATTGTTACAAATTAGGTACTAATTATCTAAAAAGGTTTGAATTAAAAATTTTGAATTCGGGGTGCCAGGCTGACGGACCTTTAATCCAGAACTAAATTTTTAAGAAATGTGATTATAGTTTAGTTTTAAAATCAAGTGTCTTTTTTTACTTTTTACTTTTTTTACTTCACGATTAGCGGTAATGTCTTGCGAAGGGTAGAGAACGTGATGGGTAGCATGGGTAAACCTAACCTAACTTGGCTCACGGTTTAACAATAATTTTGTACTAATTATTCAAAATAATATTTATAAAAATATCGTTATGCCGTTATGGGCTCAATGATACTAACGGAAAAATTCCAATAACGATAATAATTAATAATTGTAAGCCCTCGATAAGTAAATTAGCTTACCTTACAAGACTTTTAAGAATAATCACAATATGTGTAATATAATACCTATATAAACTACCTACCTAAAAATATTCACGTTCATGGGTCAAGTAGTTTTTGAGATTCGATGATAAACGACTAAAATCGAGATTTTCCGTTTAAATATTTAATTTCATCCAAAATTTATCTTAAAAAAATTTATCACACCAAAAGCACTTGGTTATAACTCCGTGTAAAAAAAGCTAAGTTAAAAAATAAAAAATTAATAATGGTTAAAGCTTTAAAAGACGTGATATAATATGGAAATTAAGTAAAATTACATTTTATAATATAACAAATACCAATGATGACAAATAAGATCAACTGTAATGTTAAATACTTCGCCAACATATTATGTTTAACTATTTGGCAGGACATAGAAGTATACTTAAATAAATACAATTAAGTTACCTCTACAGTATTTACAGTAATTGATAGTGTATCAACAATGTGTTGACTAAGTAAATTAAAATCGACATTCAAATTGATCTTATTTGTCATCATAGGTATTTGTTATATTATAAAATGTCATTTTACTTAATTTCCATATTATATCACGTCTTTTAGCTTTAAATACTACTTCATATATTCAGCCGTTTGCCCTGTAGATGTTGGCAAAGAATTGACATAAATTAGGACGATTTTTCAATATTAAAACTCGGTGTCCTGTTATTATACGTAAGTGGCTATTTCGCTATTTTTACTCCGTTTTTTTTTTTTTAACTCAACTTCGCGCCACTACCGTTGCGCTGGATTAAAACGACGGTGCTTGTACAGTTTTTAGATGTTTTGGTTAAAAAAAATTGCTTTAAATGTTCAATTCTCGGCTATAAAATAATTTCTTCGATTCGGTCAGAATCTGAAACCGAAATGTTCGTTCAATATACGGTAGTAAAAATAATTTATTTTTATAAAATGATTGTGACTTTTAGATTTTAATATTTCATATAAATATTAAAATATATATTTAAACTATTATTGTCTATGTACATAATGTTATGTTTTAATATTTATAATTCAGTTTTTATGTCTTCTGGCACATTAAATTCGAAAAATTCATTTAATGGTAAGCTACTCCAAAATTCATAATTCCCGTGGTTTGATTTTTCTCTGGCTTCAAATGTTTGTTGTTGAGTAATCTTATTGAATCTGAAAGGATCTGCTTGATTCTTAGAAACAGGTAACCAAATTTCTGAATTTTCAGTATCTGGTACTCTATAAAAGTAAAAAAAAAAAATTATAATCACTATTTAATACAGCCTAGAATGTATAAAAAATATAAAATATTTATTGTTTAAGATTTGAGACTTATATTTTTTTAATACGTATTAATTATAGTCTGTTAAAAATGGGTACAATACAGGAAACAAAGCCACACCCATACTTAGTAGTTAGTAGGTGGCAGCCTGTGCTGATTTAATTCTGAACAGACTATAGATTATAATATAGAAACAGGTTAAGAACTTAATATCAGATTTCATTGACATTCATAACAATGGTTGATTAATCAATTAAAGTCAGACAATTACCCGACTTTAATGAATGTTGCCCAAATATTAACCATAGTTTTGATCATCTTTTTATCTTCTTCATTGTCGTAAACAGAGAAACCATCCACTTTTAAAACATAACTGGTTTCATCGCCATGAGTTGAGCCTAATTGTTTATAAGTTACGATGAATTAAAAAATTTATAATGCAAATACAAACGTAGGTATTTAAAATATGTTATTTACTTGATCCTCGGTTATATGATTTTGGATCGAAAAAAGCTGTGTAAGAATAATTACCGCTATACCCAAATTCGTAGAAATATACAGGTGCGGTATTCTTTGCAGTAATGTGCTGAGCTGCCTTACTTGTACCATATACAAATGATCTATCTGAAATCATCTGAAGAATGTTGATATTACCTATCAATTTTATTATTAAATGCAGTAAAAAACTCGTACAATTGTATTTTATTGCAACTATGCATTAAACAATTTGAAACACATGTTTAAATACAAATATTTTTCGAAAATGTGACTTTAAAGTTTTTAAAATACAAAAAAATGTATACATTGTCATATTTTTGACGTTATTACATATGGTTGTTATTTATGTTTAGTTCAGTGATGTGTTTGAATAAGATAAATTAATAAAAAAAATAAATTATACAGTGTAATTCACCTAAAACACCCGCTCCCATTATATCCTCCGAAAAAATAAATATCCCGAAACATAAAAAAATATAAAAAATGTCCAAGCTATTTTTTAAATATTAGGTAAATGTAGTATAAACTTACTTGTGCAAGATTACTTTTGGTTTCTTTTGATATTGGTTTGTCACCAAAGTAAAACTGTTTTATATCTTGGGCAATTTTGATTCTCAGACTCTCGTTTGAAATCGTGTAATTATAATCAACAAGAAGTGGTAAATTTTTATTTATATTGCGACACTATAGTTGGATTCTAGGGTTTTGATATTATTAGGATATACAGGTTAAATCAATAATAATAGTCACCGCATTAGTGACACAATTAGTGAACAGAGATCACATTATTAGTGTCTGTATCAATTGTTATGTGTTTAACTGTTATAACAATAGTGGAAATTTGTGAGTATAGATTTCCAATGTATTTTAAATCGATATAGGTAGTCATATAGTTCCCTTCAATTACTGATTTAATCTAAACCATGCTAGGGTCGTCAAAAAGTATCAAGTTATATTTCATTTGAAAAGTCAATAGATTTAATATAGATTCATAGAAGGTGATATTAAAAAATAAGTAGTTGCTAAAATATAAAAGTTAATCCTGATATGTATAAAAGAACAGGACTTTATTAAGGACCAATTTTATGACTACGCTATTTGACTTTTTTCCAACTTTCTTTCACAGAATTGTTCCAAATACTTTCCCTAAGTGCCACCACGTCGCCTGATTTCAAAGGGTTAAAATCGATAAAATGAAATTTTTTACATATAAATATTGTAAATCTATATATATGGGAGCACACGAGTTGCGTCCCGTAAAAAAGATATACACGAATTGCGTCCCAAAAAATCAAGGACGCAATTCATGTATTTTAATCAAGGGTTCTTAAACAACTAACAAAAATAAATAAATAATAATATTAACGTTAATAATCAAAATGTCAGTCAAAAAATTGTTTATCAAATGTAGTAAAAAAGTAAATAAACATTAAATCACTTAGATCTAGTCAAAATCAATATAGGTAGTCCATAATATAATAAATAAATAAATAATAATCATAATAATAACAATAATGTTAGTAATCAAAATGTCAGTCGAAAAATTGTAAATAAACGTTAAATCACTTAGATCTAAACAAAATCAATATAGTCCATAATATAATAAATAAATAAATAATAATCATAATAATAACAATAATGTTAGTAATCAAAATGTCAGTCAAAAATTAGGTTTATACTTATTAGATAAGCTTTTTACAAAATGTAACCTTGTTATTTTATTTTCATTTAGTTTTTTTATCTGATTTTCAACAAATAAAATGTTGTTTCGGCGTTGTTTTCTATATTGACGTATAGAAATTAGCGAGCTTCTAACTAACACTACAGTATCGGTTTGAATTATCTTTAAAACATCTAAAAATGTATAAATATTTGGATGGGAACTATTAAAAAAACTATTAAATTTTTTGTGAAAAGACTCACACGCGTTTGTAGTTCGCTGTTCATTTTCGCACGCAAAGGTTCATTTTCGTTTGTAATACAGTCGATAGCATTTAATGCTGAATGGACAGTTAAAATATTTGTTGGTAATTTTGGTAGTTGTTCACTTCGAGCTCGATATAAATTATTTTTTATATAGCGAATATCTGTAATTGTTAATGTACTTTTAACACTGAAATCAATACTTTCTTTTAAATGTCGGTGCATTAGTTTAGCTGGTCTTTCATATAACTCTTGTGTACCTTTTCGCTTAAGAGAATTACTTACAATTTGTCGATTTATTACTGCTTCAGATAGTGCATCGTGGCTGTGGTCAGTATCACTCACGTTAAGTAAAATATCATCATTTTCGTTAATTTTTAAATATGCTGTACACGTTTTAACGGTACATTTCCAACGTTGAATATTATTAGCCAAACATTTATGAAAACAGAACTTATATTTGTCAATTATTTTCAAATGTTTTTGTTTTTCACTAATAATATTTTGCACTTCCATTTTAAAACGTAGGTATACGAAAAAGTAACGAACGAAGACTGAACTGCAGTAAAATATATACTAAACTCAACAGTTATTTACAGTAGATACTGTACCTAATCAAGTATTTTATATCAGCTTGGTAAATCCAGAGCATTGTGAAACTAAATGCTATACACACATATATATAATACAAAGCTTTACCGATATAGTATAGGTAGAATAGAGGTGGTATTTTATTGTTCACGATTACGATAAACGAACTTGCTATCGTAATTTATATTACTATCAAAACATAATATTAGAGCCCAGGCTATCTTATAATAATTAACACACCACGGAGAACCCCTGAAAACGAAATAAAACTCTACTACCTAACCCATATATAGTGGGACGCAATTCGTGTATACCTTTTTTACGGGACGCAACTAAGGTGCCCCGATATATATTAGATATTTTACAGCACGGCGACCTGTGGGTTTCCATAGTGACATTCAACCATAACTTTTTGTCAGTCGAACCATGTTTTTGATCGGCGTGTAAATATGAATTGTTCCGAGAAGTAATAATAATAATAATAATATTTTCTTTATTACGGAAATATATTCCAATTACAGTTTTTTTTTTATGTAAAATTCTACATATTATTCTTTATCTACCTAGGTATATAAAAATAAATCCCTATTGCCCGTAGTCGAGGCATCACGTTTATAGCGTATCCTTTAAGACACATCCATCTATATTCTGTGGATGATATTGAACAGTTAATATATAATTTCATAGTGGAATCAATCGGAAGATTAATCAAAAATTTCATAGTGATTTTTTTGATAAGTATTTGTTCATCAGGATAGTGTAAGCAATCACGCTTAAAATTTTAAACAGATTTAAGTCACCCACGAGCCGCTTTGTATGTGTATAGGTTTACAGTTTGCATGTTTATTTTAATTAATAACTAATTTTCCGCTCAACTTTCTTAATGTTCATGGTTAATTATCAAAATAATGAACTTTAGAATCATTTTTTAAAAACAATATGTGTATAGAATCATTTTTAAATATTATTTTTATTTTTTTTGATAGGATTTTTCAAAATTAGAACTATAAGGGGGTAAAGGGGGTTTTTCATATGGCTATGTAATGCACGGGCAACGCCGTGACGGGACAGTTAGTACCATAAAACATTACATGTACACGAAATTTGTGGATTTAAATATGCGTTATTTAGACGTAACACCTGACTAATAATTTTTTTTTAAGTAGTTATAACTTATGATTCAAGATCGTCTGACAATTATTCAAATCTATTGTCGAAATATGACATAAGTCGATCTATAAGTTTAAAAGTCTCAATCTAAACAGGTGTACAAAATTAATTATACATAAGTATATTTATTTAGATAAGAAGATACACCCGCATATAAAATTATTTATCTGTAAACAAACTAATATTTAATTACGTCATTGAAGTATGTAGAAAATAGTTACATCTAACAATAATGAATAAAGTAAAATTATGATATTCTTCTACACCCCTTCCCACCAAAAAAATCAAGACTTGTGATTGTAGTGAAATGTACATATTGTATTTGTAAATTACCTTAGTTGTGTAAACGTTGAGAAATAAACAATCTTCCTGACCAATAAATTTAGTATCAGATAAAATTGATCCAAAGTCTATTCCTAAACAGGCACTTCCAGGAACGGTGGCGTTCCATACTCCCAACCAAGGCTGTACTGGTTGCGGTTCCTGTAAAAATAATACTTTATATAATTTTAATTGTCTCTAAACATTAAGAAATGCTTCTTAACATACTTTAAATCGATTGTTTTGAATTGGAGGACTTGCATATGGTATGCCTAAGAATGAGTAAATTTTTCGACCATTATAGGTATATTCAAATCCACCTGCAATTTCACCAGAATGGACTTGCACTTTAGGCGTATTAGACGTCGAACATGTCATAAAGCATCCGATGAATAAACTGAAGTTTAGTAAAATTCCACCAATATTTTTCATTTTTAATTAAGACGAATGTTGATTTTAAAACTAAAGTTTATAAAGACTTCTGAAATGTGTAGATTTTAATTATAATAGTGTAGTATTGTATAATGTTTACTGAATTCATTCATGTATTTAATACATTCAAAATCTGAAAATAATAATTAGTTTGATTAGATAAATAGCCATTACATTTATTTATGATATAAAATATGTAAGTCATTAACACAATAACACTACACACTTTGTATGGTATTACTGTATCTAACCAATTTACACAACAACATTTATAACAATATTTTATATATGTTTTTGCGTTTTTCTGTTAAAACCAAATACTTACAATATTTATGAAATATAACTGGCTTGATGTATAAAAAATCTTTTTTCTTACGATTTAAAATGTATATGTCACCACTCTCTTCTAATGTAAATTGCCAAATGTTCACATTTTAGTATAAATCATCAAGAATATTGAATTTTATCTTAATGAATATTATCTTGGCAATGTTGACACTTTAGAGCTTCACATTGTTTTGGATGATTTATTTTTAAGTACATAATATATTACTGTTACATTTATAAATACCTTATTTCGATAATTCCACTCTGTTATGACTAAATTTATACAAATTGCCCACAGCCCACTTATTGAAACCATAAAAAAGTACTCTAGTTCAAAACAATTGATTTTGAGTATTATTATAGGGTATTTTTTTATATCAAACTTGGTTTTTACTAGTAATTAAGCTCATTGAGTCATAATACAATATTTTTTCCGTTTGTGTTCCCCATTGGTTTTATTATTTTTTCTCTAACTGATCGGATGTATTTCGTCGATTTTACGTGACAAGCTGTGCTTAAATTACACAAGCTGACCGGTATCCTTAACAAAATCGAGATCCAGGGGTATGCACTGCTAACTTGTAGATTTACAGCGAACAATAACGGCCTCTGCATAACACGCACAAGTGTTCAATCGCTGCTGACTACGGTGGTTGTCAGAAGCAGTGCATCGCGGTGCCGCCCAACAAATCAATCACTTCGTCACTCCAGGTTGCTGTGCGGCTGTCTGACCGACGAGTAAGTTGATTCAGACGGTAAGACGTGCGTGTTCGATTCGAAAACTGTGATCGATTCGAAAGCCGTGGGTGATTCTAACAAAGTGATAGTGTCTTTATCGGGAGGCACCTCAAGACGCATACAATATCGTTATGTAACTACTGTGCGTTGCATTATTCCTATTTATTATTTAGTCACATAGATTAAATATGATAATTATATGATTCAGTTGACCATTGCAAACTGTAGTGAAACAGTAAAATTCAAAAACATAATTTCTTTTTAATGAGTAATAATACAATTTAGATAATATAATAATACTCTACTATTTAAAGACTGATACTATTTAGTTTACCAGGTAGGTACAGTTAATACTATAGAATATTGTTATACTTTCCTAAAAAATTATTACCTATAGGTACATAAAAATGATAAGGTTTCAAATACTTTCTCGATATTACGTATATTTTAGAGTCTGAGCTAATAAATATGATGTTTTTTTTGCTATAGTACAAATGCTCTGATCCTGAACATCAGCATATTTTATAACAGAAAAGTAAATTTGGTTGGTACTTTTGATCTGCCAACATTAAAAATTCCTAACAGTTTTGGAAAGCGTCTCAAAACCAAAAGAGCGGGGAAAAAATTGAAATTTTATGCAATACCAATTTTCGAACAACTTTAAGAACTTAAGGCACTTGAAATCTTCATGAAACATTTATAGAATTTTTCATCTATGGTAAAATTTTTGAAACATATTTGAGCTATTTATATCGCCTTTGGATGTTCGAATTTTATTAAAAATTTAAAACTATTCTGGATAAAAACTTATTAACTCGGTAAAAAAGCACAAAAATTGAATGCAAAGTTTCTCATAATTTTATTTGATAGAGGTTCAGAAATATTAATACATTTTTATAAGACCAATTGATACATAGGTACAATATTATTTTTTATATGTATTTAAAAACAGTCACGCGCGGACAGCCAAGCTGAATGCACACGTTTTTCATGCCTCCGCGTTTGTTTAATGTAATGTCGCTCAAACTTGTCGGAATTTTTCGTTCTTTATATCAAACGACTCAGTTCTTAGTGTAATTGCTGACCCCAGTGTCTACCAGCTGCCAAAACCAGCCTTTATTTGTGGAAATAGATTTAAGTTTACTAAGTATACGTATTTAGTGCATGGTTATATAATATACCTAATCTCACTACGAGGCATCGCCGCGGCGGTGACCTTTGTCCACGCGATTACGATAATAATTAATATTATAATAATATTATAATAATATACGCTACTCGGCGTAATTAATCGACTTCGCAGTCCGTGAAAACTTATCATTCTACAGTTAAACATTTAAATATGACCAGCCGTAATCATAATAATACAAATAATGCAAATCTTAATAACAAGACCTCAAATGCAAATCCTAAACCCAGGTCACCGAAGACACCTGTTAATAGTGATAAACGCAATCACTCTAGTACGTCCAGTTCAGAACCATCGTCACCAAATCTACTTCAACATGTAAGCAAAAAACTATTCGCGACTCCTAACCGATTTGATGTATTAAAACCACCGGAATCTACAGAAGAAACTTTTGAAACTACTGCACAGGAAAAACAGTCAATTGCTGATCCAGATCCAGTTCTCACTTACTCTAAACCACCCCCTCCAATTTTCATACGAGGCGTAGAAGACTTCCCTGGTGTTTGTACAAAACTAATTGAATTAATAGGTGTCGATAATTTTATCTGCAAGTCAACGGCTGATCATTTAAAAATCCAAACTACCAATCCAGGAGCGTATAGAACACTAGTTCACTACTTAAGAGATGCGGAAGCTGAATTCCATACATTCCAGCTAAAAGAAGATAAACCCATGCGTATAGTTATTCGTAACTTGCACCCATCCACTCCAACGGAAATGATCAAAAGTGAACTCGAACTTCGCTTATATGAAGTCAGACAAGTTACGCAGGTTATTCACAGAATTAGCAAAATACCCCTGCCATTATTTTTTGTCGACCTCGAGCCAACAGATCACTCAAATGAGATTTTTAAACTTGAATCCTTATTGCACACAAAAATAAAAATAGAAGAACCTCACAAGCCTAAAATTATTAGTCAATGCCAGAACTGTCAAGCTTATGGTCATACCAAAGCCTACTGCGGATATAGTCCTCGTTGTGTCCGGTGCGGTGATGACCATTCTTCATCTGCCTGTCCAAATTCACGTCAAGACCCAATGCGATGCGCCCTCTGCACAGGTAACCACCCTGCAAACTACAGGGGATGCACAGTTTACAAAAACCTCCAGCAACGTAAGAAAACCAACCTAAATAATCAAAAATTACATGTAAACTCTAGTCATAAGCCTAACAATGTACAAGATAGCCACCCACGCAATACCACTTCCAACAATCCTCCTCCTAGCCAACCTCAAACGTATGCTCAGGCAACTCAAGGTCAACATCCACAATCTAATATTCCTCTGCCTACTCCCGATATTAATTCGCTAATGGCAAGCTTTGTAAGCGAGCTTAAAACTCTCATCAATCCATTAATCTCACTACTTACTCAGGTAATCTCAAGCTTATTGACAAAAAAAAATGAATAATTCTGCTACAAATAAGTCCCTCCTAGTTTTACAATTTAATGCTAATGGTCTTAAAAACCATGTAAATATTTTACAAAATGTATTATATGATAAACGTATCGACATCGCCCTTATCACAGAAACACACTTCACTAAATATACACATATCTTCATACCTGGATACCAACTAATTAAAGCAAATGCTATTTTCTATAAACGATTCTATTATAAATTAGAAAACCATGTAAATCCTCTAATAAAAGGCTTACATATCCCGTCACTTCCTGGAAATCCCCGTCGCAGACTGAAAAGGAAATGGTGTAGGGATCATCTAACCTAATCCTAATAAGTTATAATAATCACATAATAAACAAGCTAAGTACTACCGTTGGGTGGCTTCTTACTCACGTAACCCCTTAATGCTTTGTTACCCCTATCTCACATATACTTATTGTGCTTATCTGTATAGATTGTATATTTCTTGTAAAAATAAAAAAATAAAAAAATATGTATTTAAAATAAAAATGTTGACAATTTTCAAATTATTTTTCAGTTAAAAATTCATAAAAGTGATTTTTTTCATTGCTAAAATTTGGTAATTTAATAGAAGATTTCAGAGAAGCTTATCCACCTCTATCAAAAAAAAAGTTTACTGAAAACTTAAGCTATTTATAGTTATGTCATATTTTTAATTTTTTTAAATTTTTCTTGAACTATTACATTTGATTATTTACACAAGTAGGTATCTATGCAAGAGTAAGGTAACATAACATAAAGGTTTAGAATCGTTTTTAGTAAGCAGTGATTTATCATTAAATTCAAATATTAACACTTCCACTACTACCACATGCTCAGAAAATATTGTACTACCCACTTGTCAAATTTTTTAAATTTTTAATCCCAACTAAAACCGTATTATTATCATATCATATTAAACATCATATTTAATTTTACATTACGTATGTCAGTGTATTGTTATTTTACTTTATAATAAAATAATAAATCTTTATCGGAGTAAAATTCAAATCTGTGCTATTATATTACTGCAGTCAAAGTTCAGAAAATATATAATTGCCAATTGTATACTTAAGAACGTTTTTACCAATGTTAGTAGAATCCACATGATCAACTTGAGTATTATTAGTATTAATATCAAATAATTATTCAATAAACATTTTCAAACACAGTAACTTTTTAACAGTTTTTTTTTAGAATAATTGTAATTTTTATACTATTATACACTCAAAATTTGTATATTCAATTTTTAAATGTACCTTTTGCATATCTTATCAAAGCTAATGAAGTCGCACTACGTGAGAGCGTGACCTATAGGGGTTAAGTAGATTAGACAATAAATAGTCAAAAGTCAGCTAAAATTTAATTGACCGACAGCGTAGTGATTTTTATTCACAAACTACCACGGTACGTGTTCAAGTTTTGCCATCCGACTATCGTTTATTGTGCTTCGTCATAATACAAATGAATGATAATAATGGCACGAAATTTGTTATAGACTCATAAGGTAATATGTACCAGGAACAGTGCTGTATTAATAATCTAATAAGTAACACTATAAATAATACTAAAATCATCTTCGCGATTGTCATTCGTTCATAGTCTGTTTCCTTGGACTTTGGCCGCGGTGGATTATTCGATTAGTGTGTTTGTCTGTGAGCTTGTCCCTACCCAGCATCTACGACAAGAGTTTTCTACTTCAAACGCGTACGCGATGGTGACCCGACCAACTCCAGATTCGGCTAAGTCGACGCACATCTTGGCCGCTGCATTGGCGTTACTCTGGCTGGCAGCCGGAGGATACAGTCAAGATGCGGGTGAGCTCAAAAACTTTTTTAAAAGCACATTATTTACGTATCGGGAATTATATAGTATTATTTAATAAGAATGAAAATTATTAAACGGATGTCACCGCACTAATCAGAGTAATTAGACCCACAATAGTAGAGTAGAATACAGTTTATAGAATTCTCAAAGATATATCTTTATATAATATGCTTATATATTATTATTATCATTATTATTATTTTTATTAATTGTTGTGGTTTATTGCTGTTATTGCTTATCGATTGTATTCTTCAAGTCACTGTTAATATTATACTATTACACATATATATATATATATTGTACTTGGATCTTACGATTCATTAGAATTTAAATAAATAAATGAATAAATAAATAAATGTAGCGCATACGTATGATATAATAATAATAACAGCGACACGCTATACCTACATCAGAGACAGTAAATAAGATAAAAATACAATACTTTGAAAAATCATACCATAATAATCAGAAAATGCACATCATATTAAAATTTAAACCTAACTAGTAACATTTAGGACGTTTTTGAATATTACAACGATATAAGAAATTCGAATTTTACAATAACTGGTTTTACTGATACCTCCCTAAAACATTCAGTTCTTATGACCTCCGAGTACTGAGTTCATCTGCGATCACACAAAAAAATTGAGCATTGACCGTTATGCTTAACAAATAATAATTTTCTGTAATTATGTTGTCTTTACAGTATCGTCGCCATGCAGCAACAACAACGCTGGTTGTCAGCACATGTGCAGTTTGTATGAGGATATTTACAGTGATTTAGCATACAAATGTTCCTGTTACACGGGATATCAACTTGCGGAAGACAAGCACAAGTGCGATTGTGAGTTTTATACAACATAATAATATGTATGAACATTGACCATTCGTCGGTGAATCGTATGTTTGATAACAATTTATTAACGTCAACGTGATAAATACTAATATTTTTCGTATTTATTTAAGTAATCGACGAATTTTTGTTGTACTCGCAATCATCGATCATAGGAGGAACCCTCTTGAAAAATATATCCGAAGGGTATACTGAAGCTATACTGCCTGTGCCCGCTAGGTATGGGTGCATGGGTCTAGATTTCGATGCTCATGCCGATTACATTTATTTTTCGGAGTTTGATTCAGCGAGATATATCTATAGGATATACAGAAACGGGACACGTAAGACATTACACACTTTTTTCACTCTTTACGTTGTAGATAATTAACAAGCACGTCTTATTAAAAACAGCACTTATTAGTACCGGTGTATAAAAATGAGGTATTTTCAGATAGAGAAACTATATTATTCTCTAAGTACGAGAGGATGGATGATCTTTCCATCGATTGGGTGACAAAAAACCTATACTATATTGATACCAATAAAGGTACATTGAACGTGTTAAGCACCCGCAACGTGACCAACAAAAGAGTGCTATTGCAGAACGAATCCATCACACGACTTGTTCTCCATCCCAACAAGGGGTAAGTGTTCTATACGAAGACAACAAATAGTATAATTATTACAATAATACTATAAAATAATTTTCTATTGAGCTTAAGTTTGTATCCCCGATATATTGTTTTTAAGGTCGATTCAATATACTGTGCGACGTTGATTAGTTTGAGTATTGTAAAAATAACATTGTACTTTCAGACTGACATATATCATTGCCAGAAAGCTTAGTGCAGGAACAATTTAATTTACATGTACATAATCAGCAAACTATTTCCTACATTTTTTTAATCGGCGGGATACTGTCATTTTAAATTTAACAAACTAAGTTTCATGCTCTACCTATGCTAAAATTGTTTATTCTCATTTACTATGTTCCTATTCTCATTTCCTGCTAGATATATTTTCATTCCAAAATTGAATTGTACCTATATAATTTCCATAATGTCGTGATTGTATTTTAAATATAAAATTAATCATACATTTATATTAATCCAAAACTGATTATTCACATACTGTTCAGTGAGTGTTCAAGATCACGCGTGTTTTCGTAATATGATACTATGGCTATTGAATTTTAGATACATATTCTTTTCTGAATATGGAGTGAGCCGTGTGAACATGGATGGTTCAAATCTGATCAGTTTTAAATATACGGGTTTATATTGGAATATAGGATTAGCTATAGATTTCGCTGCGGACCGGCTGTACTGGTGCGAACCAAATCAAAACTTAATTTATCACTCAAATTTGGACTTGACGGATGTGATATCTATCAAATCGAGGTGGATAAATTCGCCACGGTTAATAACCACACATAAAGGTATGACTGTCGTTAATTTATTTTGTTTCGGTAGGGTCATATTTAAACTTTTTTAAATAAGACCTAGCCGTTCCTGCAAATGACAAATCTTTTAAAACTTTTTAAGTTAACTTAAATATTATAACTATCCAGTTAATACTCACTTTCACTCATAAGTATAAAATACTAAAACTTGTAATGCTCAAAAAAAATGTAGAGAACGGTGAATGTAGTCAATTTGCACTTAACATTATATTTCAACAATTATCGGTGAAAGGATGACAGTCATAATAACAAATTGATAGGTATGTAAATAGGTATGTTGAATAGTACAATTTACTGCTTAAATACCTCATAACTCGATTAGACGATAAAATATTTACACAAAAGTATAACACGAATAATATTTTTCCTAAATGATTAATAATAGTATTAATTCAATGAAATACTACTTAAGCTCATGAAGTCATAACACAATATCAAGCTCAGGACGGCACCAATTCACAATATTCAAATGAAATTCTCACGCCCTTTAAATACAGTCCTGCATAGTTGCAGTAAAGCTGTTGCAGTTTGTGTTGAGGTTCCCCATTGGTTTTATTATTTTCCTGTGTAGATTGGATGTACATCATCAATAATTATGGGAGTAACTCTATAATTAAATTACACAAGCTGACTGGCAAATTGGAGGACAAAATCGAGGTCCAGAGCCATGACGATGACTTTTCTAAGCTGTACAACCTGAAGATTTATAGCAAATACGAACAGCTTATCGACAACACGCACCCGTGCTCAATGGCAGCTAACTACGGTGGTTGTCAGAAACTGTGCTTTGCGGTGCCCTCCAATAAGTCAATCACTTCGTCACTAAAAGCGATATGCGGTTGTCTGATCGGCGAGAAGGTTGATTCGGACGGTAAGACGTGCGTGGACGAATCGAAAGCCTTGACCGATTCGAAAGACATGGTGGATTCGAAAGCCGTGATCGTGTCTGTTTCAGGAGACGCCTCAAGAAACATACAATATCGTTATGTAACTTTTGTTTGTTTTGCGCTAGTATACCTATTTACTATTTAGTTATGGATTTAATATGGAAAATATATTGTTCAGTTGACTATTATTGCCATCCGCAGTCAAATAATTAAATCCTAGAATCCATATAGAATCTTCTTTGATGATATTAGTATCGATTCCATGTAGGTACCTGAAAACCCCGAACTTACTAGTAGTGTAAGGTTATTTTTTGTACTGAAGAGGATTTAAGCACTAACTCGAAAATTACTTGATAACTTAGGTATACTATCAGGAATAAAAAGTGATCTTACATCAATGCTTATATTCACATCAACCTTTGATGATATAATAAACTGATTTTCTTTAAATATATCAAGACAAGTTACATAATTTATAGAATAACCATAATTTAAAATATAAATATAAAAACATATAGTTTTTAACATTTATACATATATCATATATTAATAGGTACTTGAAATCTGTATTGATAAAAAAATGTATTGCATATTTGCATTGTAATTTTTTTTGTAAAAAATTAGAAATCAATTGTAATTATTAATTTGTTTTGTACAATTCTTGTGTGGAGGAGCCATAAAACGATATTGTTGAGACGGGAAAATATTTTATTTCGCCTAAGTCAAACACAGTAGGAACACTGTAATGTGCTGCATAGCATAACAATATACAGTTATAATGCACATTGAATATAATCTATAAAAAAATCTAAAAATACCAAATGTAGTGATTTTATACATTTTATGTTCAATCCAAAGTTTGTACAACCATTTTAATGTTTGTATTAGCATAGTTATAATTTTTTATACTATTATACACCCGAAAATTATACATTCAAATGTTAAATGTACCTTTCCCATATTGTGTATTTTGATCGAAACCGACAGTAGGTACCTAATAGACCTGGGTCTGTCTATACGTAGTCGATTAGACCACCACCGTCGTTATCATTTTGTTATTATCAAAAACAAAGTTGTTATCATATCGTATCATCCATTATAATAAATACATACATTACATTATTTCATACAATATAATATAATAACATATTAATATATTATTATATAAATTGTATAATAAATCTTTTATTTTATAATATAGGCACCCATACTTGACTGCTAGTAGAATTTGATGCATATTTTGCATATACAGCAATTTCAATTTTCTTAACACATGCAATCTGTGTACAAGTTCTTTCAACAAAGTCCTCCAGCATAGATGATACAATCTTAATATTAGAAAAGTTATCTTCAATAATATATATATATTTTTTTTTATTTTGGTACACAGATGACGCAATGATTATTAAATAATCTCAGTTAATCAAAAATAGTTTTAATAGTGTTAGAAGTTTTTAGAAAGTGCTTAAACTAAAGAGTTAACTAGTAAATAATAACTTTACTTTGATCATGATATATAAAAAATTATATTACGCCTTCTCTATCGAGCCACTACCTAATTCCCCATAATAGAGAAAAATTGAGATAATTATTTGACTATTGAAATAAGATAAACATTTAATTAGGAAATAGTAGTATAATTATTAATTAATAATTTTTACTACCATAATAGTAGGTCTTTACACTCTGATTACTGTATTGTTTAGGCACCTTTATTAAATTTTTACATTTTTAAGATACTATATTTATATTAATGTTCCATTTCAGTTTATTAATAACATATTAAATAGTTAATATTTAGTATTAAATAGTTCCATTTCTATGCCCAGAAGTCCCGTCTTATAGGTACTTTAAGGTTTCGTATTTTAAAATATATTGTAATATAGATTACATGTGTTAAGAAAATTGCAATTTCTGTATATGCAAAATATGCATCAAATTCTACTAGCAGTCAAGTATAGGTGCTATATAGTATAAGATTTATTATACAATTTATATAATAATATGTTATTATATTATATTATATGAAATAATGTAATATATGTATTTATTATAATGGATGATACGATATGATTACAACTTTGTTTTTGATAATAACAAAATGATAACGACGGTGGTGGTCTAATCGACTGCGTATAGACAGACCCAATAGACCTACATCTTATCAAATCTAATGAAGTCGCACTACGTGAGAGCATGCATGTGGGTTAGGTAGATTATAAAATAGACAGGTAAAAGTCCACTAAAATTTAATTGAACGGTAGTGTAGTGATTTTTATTCGCAAACTACTACGACACGTGGTCTAGTTTTGCCGTCCGACCATCGTTTATTGTGCTTCGTTGTACAAATTAATGATAACAATGGAATGAAATTCGTTATAGACTCATTAGGTAGGTGAGGTCAGGTTGGGCGTACAAGGAACAGTGCTATCGTAATAAACCAAAAAGTAATACCACAATTAATGATACTAACATCATCTCCACGATTGTTATTTGTTCTCAGTCAGTTTGTTCAGGCGGTTCTCCGCTGGATTATTCGATTAGCGTGTGTTTCTTTATGAGCTTTCCCCTATCCAGCATCTACGACAAGAGTTTTCTACTTCAAACGCGTACGAAATGGTGACCCGACCCACTCCAGATACGGCTAAGTCGACGCACATCTTGGCCGCTGCATTGGCGTTACTCTGGCTGACAGCCGCAGGATACAGTCAAGACGCGGGTGAGTTCAAGAACTTTTTTTAAAAGCACATTATTTAAGTATCGAGAATTGTATAGTAATATTTAATGAGAATGAAAAGTATGAAAAGGTTATCAGCGTTAATCCAACAAAAAAAAAAAAGTACAATATTATGAAAATTATACCATAATAATTATAAAATGCACATTATATTCAAATATAAACCTAACATTTTGGAAATTTTTGAATTACAACGATATAAGAAATTCAAATTTTACAATAACTGGTTTTACTGATACCAAAAATATTAAAGCCGGGTTAGTGTACAAACGCATCTGTTACACGGGATATCAACTTGCGGAAGACAAGCACAACTGCGTTTGTGAGTTTTATTCAATTTAATATGTATGAACATTCGTCAGTGAATCGTATGTTTGATAAAAACTAACGTCAACGTGTTAGAAACTAATGTTTTTTTGTGTTTGTTTAAGTAGTGGACACATCTTTGTTGTACTCGCAAGCAACGTCAATCAAAGGTAAAGTCTTAAACACTAATTCCGAAGAGTATAATGAATCTATACGGCCAATGCTAACTAGTTCTATGGGGTACGTGAGTTTCGATTTCGATGCTCATGACCGCTACATTTATTATACGGAAGTTCTTGATGATAGCGTCATCTATAAGATACACATAAACGAGATGGGTAATTATTTACATTTTTTTTTTCGCTCGACATTGTAGATAACTATTAACAAATGCTTTTTGGTGAAACTATCACTTTTTAGTACTAGACACCAGTGAATAAAATTGAGATATTTTTAGATAGAGAAATTGTATTATCCTCTGAGGCCGAGAGAGTGGTTCATCTTTCCGTCGATTGGGTGACAAAAAACCTATACTATATTGATGCCATAGAAGGTACTTTGAACGTGTTAAGCACCCGCAACGTGACCAACAAAAGAGTGTTATTGCAGAACTTCCGCATCGGACGACCTGTTCTCCACCCTAACAAGGGGTAAATGTCCCATAAGAACTAAAAAAATGAAATAATCATTTTCAACTGTGTTCAAATCTGTATCTCTGATATACTGTTTTTGAAGTGCATTCGATATACTTTAAGGTTGTATAGTTTAGGTCTTGTAAAAATAAAATTTTACTTTGATACAGACACAAATCATTGCCAGAAAGTTTAGAAAGATTAATTTCATTTACATTGACATAATCAGCTTACTATTGCTTACATGTTGTAATCGGTAGGATAATGTTTTCCAGAAATAATCATTTTAAACTCAACAAATTAAAATACATACCATATGCTAAAATTATTTATTCTCATTTCCTATGTTCGTAAGTGTTCTATACGAAGACAACAAATAATATTATTACAATAATACTATAAAAATAATTTTCTTTTGCGCTCAAGTTTGTATCTCTGATATATTGATTTTAAGAGGGATTCAATATAATGTGCGACGTTGATTAGTTTAGGTATTGTAAAAATAACATTGTACTTTCAGACTGACATATATCATTGCCAGAAAGCTTAGTGCAGGAACAATTTAATTTACATGTACATAATCGGCAAACTATTGCCTACATTTTTTAATCGGCGGAATACTGTCATTTTAAATTTGACAAACTAAGTTTCATGCTATATGCTAAAATTGTTTATTCTCATTTCCTATGTTCCCATCCTCATTTCCTGCTAGATATTTTTTCATTCCAAAATTGAATTGTACCTATAAATAATTACCATAATGTCGTGATTGTATTTTAAATATAAAATTAATCATACATTTATATTAATCTAAAACCGATAATTCACATATACTGTGCAGTGAGTGTTCGAGACCATGCATGTTTTCGTAATATGATACTATGGCTAATGTATTTTAGATACATATTCTTTTCTGAAAATGGAGTGAGCCGTGTGAACATGGATGGTTCAAATCTGATCAATTTTAAATACCCGTCTTCCCATTTCAAAAAAGGATTGGCTGTAGATTTTGCGATGGACCGACTATATTGGTGCGACGAACATGATTCCGTAGTTTATCATTCAAATTTGGACCTCACTGATGTGATATCTATCAAATCGAAGTGGATAAATGAGCCACGGTTAATAGCCACACATAAAGGTATGCTTGTCGTTAATTTATTTTGTTTCGGTAGGGTCATATTTAAACTTTTTTTATAAAAGACCCATTCCTTTAAATTACAATATTCTCAGTGTCAATTAAAACATTTCCCTTGATATTAATTGGGTAGTAAAAAATTTTAATTTGTCATCACTTACTATTAATAGCTAATATAATATAACTACACAAGGAACAGTCTGCACAAGTTAATTCAAGCTAAACCAAGTAAACACAAGTTAAAATGTAATGCTTCAAAATATATTGAAATCATCGAGTTTGATGTATATCCAATTATACATAATTTTATATGTCTTATAAAGAAAGAACATAGCAAATAAGTCTTTCGTATTTCTAATTCCGTTTAAAGTAATCTTGAATAATAGTTTTAAGCAACCTAAAATTCAATTTAAAAATAAGAACATTATCACTGTTTTATTGTTGGTTCCTTACATTTTTTTATTCATTAAACAAGCTATATGAGTAAATAAGTATGTTGAATATTACGATTTAGAAATTCTCATAACTCGATTAGACGATAAAATATTTACACAAAAGTATAAAACGAATAATATTTTTCCTAAATGATTAATAATAGTATTAATTCAATGAAATACTACTTAAGCTCATGAAATCATAACACAATATCAAGCTCAGGACTGCACCAATTCACAATATTAAAATGAAATTCTCACACCCTTTAAATACAGTCCTGCATAGTTGCAGTGAAGCTGTTGCAGTTTGTGTTGTGGTTCCCCATTGATTTTATTATTTTCCTGCGTAGATTGGATGTACATCATCAATAATTCTGGGAGTAACTCTATAATTAAATTACACAAGCTGACCGGTGTTTTGGCCGACATCGAGCCCATCGAGGTCCAGGGCCAAGACAATGGCGATGCTGAGCTGTACAACCTGAAAATTTACAGCAAACACGAACAACTCATCGACAACACGCATCCGTGCTCGATGGAGGCGAACTACGGTGGTTGTCAGAAACTGTGCTTTGCGGTGCCCTCCAATAAGTCAATCACTTCGTCCCTCCAGGCGATATGCGGCTGTCTGATCGGCGAGAAAGTTGATTCGGACGGTAAGACGTGCGTGGGTGAATCGAAAGCTCTGACCGATTTGAAAGCAATGACCGATTCGAAAGCCACGGTGGATTCGAAAGCCGTGGTCGATGTTAACGCAGAAATCGAATCTGTATCGGGAGGCGCCTCAAGACACATTCAATATCGTTATTTAACTACTGTTTGTTTTGTGCTAGTATACCTATTTACCATTTAGTCAAGGATTGATTTAAACATAATCCATATATAAAAAAAAATAATAATTAATAAAAAATATTTTATTTTTTATAGTACAGCTAGGTTTCAGAATATAAATACTGTAGCAGTGAAAAGGTTAATATGAAAATTATATTGTTCCTTTGATTATTGCAAACTGTAGTAAAATAATTAAATCCAATATAGTATCTATTATTATTACTATTTATTTGAGTGGTAAATGTATTGTGATAACTCAAATGTTTAACTAGGTATATTTATTATGTTTATACCAACCGAATTTTTTTTTAAATAAAGTGTGTTTTATATTTATTTTGTTGAAACAATGTAATTATATGCCTATTTTATTAGGTAATATATTTTTGTAAATAGTTCATAGACACACGGTTTTCGATAATCACTAGACACTAATTGATTTACAATTGTTATGTTTTCAGAGTTGTCATAATTTAAAAAAAATCGTATTTCCCTCCTCCTTCCCCCCTAAAAAACATAGATTTTTTTTTTTGTTTGTATGGTTCTAAATAGTTTTAAGAGAATTAAAAATTGGAAAAGTTGCCTAGGAAGAGGTGCTCAAACAAATACTTTTAAGATGTACATTTTTATTGTGTATAAATTGTAATGAGAGATTTCAGGGAAGTTTAGAGAGTAGTTTTAACCCCATACTATTTATACGATGATATTCATATTGTCGAATCCACCTAGTGGCACATTAAGGAGAGGAGGGAAAGAGCAGTTGCTCCTGGAGCCAGAGGCTGCAAAATAGTCAAAACATTATTTTGTTGTACTATAAAAATAAAATATTTAATAGAATGAGTATTAATTATTTAAGTTTACGAAATAACGATGTCGCTTGCCGGAATTTCTAAAATCGTAATGGAATACAATATTAGTACAATTATGTAAATACTTATTGGGAAAATGGTCTTGGGGACCTTGTTTTCGTAACACCTTTATGCTATTTCAGATTGAGAGAGGAGAGATGAATGTATTGATTAATGATTTCACAATAATGTGTGTGTCTATTTTTTTTTGTCTGTCATCAAATTTTGGGGCAGTAAAAGTGCTTCGATTTTCTTCAACAGCATTTTTTCTTGTAGCAAAGTGAACCTAACTGATTCTGCGGGAGGATCAAAAGTAAAAAATTCCCATTAGTTTTTAAAAGTGGCAGGAAAAACAAACAAAAAATTAAGGAAAAACTGAAATTTTTACAGAATCCCGGTTTTCGACAAAATTTATTTTGGTTTTTGATAAAAGACTAAAAAAAAAAAATATCATAGAAACATGATATTTTCATTGAATGTTAATATCTGCATTTTCTATATGTCGTTACACCATACATTTTTCAAAATATTTTGACTTGCAGTGTTGCACTATTTATAGGCATATGAAATGTTTGATTATTATTTGTTTTTTTTATACTTATGTCGATAATACATTTTGAAAATGTAATACAAGGTTCTGAGTAAGTTGTTGTTAGTGGAAATAAAAATAAAAGTTGAGCGTTAATCCACAATATTTTTTTATGAGCGTTTGAATTTAGAATTTTGACAACGCTGATGTTAATATCTTTACAATTTAACACACTAAAACATACAATACAGCGTAGGTACATAATAGTTGGACATTTAATTTTCAGTATCGAAAATTATTCATATTTTTGTTATTTATTAATTGGCATTGCAAGAATGGGCAACTCAAACTTTCCAAAGGGCCAGATAACCTACGATTATTTTTGTTGATTTTCTTTGAAAAGTAATTTATTATTTAACTTGATCCGAATACAAAAATATGTCGTACGTGTATGATTGATGCTGCTGTATAATGTATTATACACTGTTATCATTAACAAGGAATAGTGAGTATGTCAATAATAATAATAATATCAAGCGGAGTATGGCAATTTAAAATGTATAGTTTTGTTTTACATTTTTCGTTTTGTCTGTGCCATAATTTTGATATATTTTTATCATGATTGTAATTTGTATAATATTAATTATTACTACTTAAAAATATTAAATTTTTGAAATGTTATTGACCAATAATTTTTTATTCAAATTCCAAATGTACAATTTGCATAATACGTGTATCGATCGAACCGATTACATTTTATCGAAGACATCCAAACAGTGCAACGTTTGAACGTGACCACAGACCGAAATACCTTACATAACAATCATCATTACCTGCTAAATATGCAGGCATGTCGGTTAACATTCAATATCTGAGCGTTAAATTCAAGTCTGGGAAACATTCCATGTGCAGTGAATCTTATCTAATATTGCCTATCTTTGCAATAAAATGCCTGCATGGTAGACCATAGAGCAGTGACTTAAATACTCGCGCGATCACGACGTGCGTTTGAGTTTCGTTGTTCGACTATCGTCTATTGTATTTCGTTATAATAATTAATCATGACACGAAATTCGTTATAAGGCGCATAGCGTGTAGGGCTCCCGCGATAAACTGAACGGTAAAAACTTAAATAATAATAACACCGTCGCCACGACTGCCATTCGTTTTTAGACAGTTTTCTCAGACTTTGGCTTAGTGGATTTTTGGTCTGCTCGCTTGTGCATGTGTGCTGCCACCAGCTCCTTACATAGTAGGGTTTTCTTCTTCGAACGCGTATGCGATGGTCAACCGAAGAACTCTCGGCACAGCTAAGACGACGTTTTGTTCGACATCCATCATGGTCGCTTCTGTGGCGATACTCTGGCTGGCGGCCACTGGATATGCTCAAAAAGCAGGTACGTTTGGCATTGTTTTTTAAAAGCAAAATGTATTATTATTATTATTGATTATAATTGAGTACCTTTTATGTCGTATTTATTAATGAACAGCGGAGAGAGGATACAAGCGTACCTTTTGTTTTCCCCATCTGACCAATGCGGACGATAGTTTACTATATCAAGACTTTTAAGAAATTAAAAAAAAAATTGAAACTTTGTTATATTATACAGTTATATTCTGTGGTGCAAATATAGCATGTAGCTCAAACGTCGTTTTGAAGTTATAGTTACCTAATTGTTGAAATTTATTAGGTATTTATCACGGACATAGCTCTTCGGAGAGTTTCGCATGCTGTATAATTCTTGTGTATATATTATGGCCACACGATTGTATTGTACGGCGCGTTGCAGACTGTCGATAATAAGTCATACTGTCTTGTACATCGAGATTATAGATCGTAGTTATAAGTGGCACTGATTATTAACCAAGTTTAATTTATATTTAACCGTTTAAAAATTAAAAATAATTTATTTTTTGATGGTCATTACCGATTTTTTTTTCTTGATGTTTTCAATAGTTGTCGATAATTTGTTATTAAGGCTAATTAAATTACGAAGGCACAGTTAAATTTTAGGTGTCAACATTTTGAAAATTATACAAATAATAGCAAACTAAATAGAAAATGCATATGTAAACATTTAGCGACAACTTCGAGTAGGGACGGATATTCGTTTATGAATAAATAGGAAATGAGAAAATTGATTTTGACAAAAGGTAATTTTACAGGTAGGTATGCTAAAATATCTGAAAATTCAGCTGGTAAGTACTCAGTTCCCCTGCACTTGCCCAACGCACACAAATTAAGTCCAACACCTACCTATAATATTTAATATCGGTGTTATGCGTTTACAGTATCGTCCCCTTGCAGCAACAACAACGCCGGTTGTCAGCACATGTGTAGTGAGTCCAAAGATATTTACGATGTGTTACAGTACAAATGCGCCTGTAACAAGGGATATTTACTTGCGGAAGACAAGCACAACTGCGTTTGTGAGTTGTATTTAATATTAAATACATATAAATATATAAACATTCGTCTGTGATTCGTATAGTTGAAAAAAAATTGAACGTCAACGTGGTAAAAACTAATGTTATTTGTATTTATTTAAGTAATCGACGAAATTTTGTTGTATTCGCAAGAACATTCAATCAAAAGTAAAGTCTTAAACAATGTTTCCGGGAAGTATAATGAATCTATACGGCCAGTGCTAACTAGTTCTATGAGGTACGTGCGTTTCGATTTCGATGCTCATGACAACTACATTTATTATACGGAAGTTCCTGAGGCAAGCGTTATCTATAAGATACACATAAACGGGAATAAGGGTAATTATTTACATTTTTTTTTACACTTGACATTGTAGATAACTATTAACAAATGCGTTTTGGTGAAACCATCATATTTTATTACCAGACACCAGTGAATAAAAATGAGATACTTTCAGGTGAAGAAACTGTATTATCTCGCTTTGAGCGCGAGAGAGTGGTTGATCTTTCCGTCGATTGGGTGACAAAAAACCTATACTATATTGATACCAATAAAGGTACATTGAACGTGTTAAGCACCCGCAACGTGACCAACAAAAGAGTGCTA